CTAATTGTATAACAATGTTTTAGGAACTTTGTTCATAATTAGATTTTACTGGAGAGATGTGTAGATGAGCATGTAATTCAGTGGATGGCCAAACTGTACCAAATTTCAGAACAGCTTCAGTTAGATCCAGATTTTAAAAAGCTTGTATATGATGGGAGTGATGCAACAACCTGCAAAGAGGTGATACAAAAATGTCTTCAACCATTGCAGCTAAATCTTGGAAGAAATTGGTGGGACACAACAAGGGAGTGGTTACATGTCTTCTCCAAATGTAGGAGATAATTACTTAATATAGATGCATCTGTTTGCAAGTGAATAGTAGTAATGAAAAGGTAACATTTTCAAAAGTAATTAGGCAACTAAAGATCTAGGTTGGCACCGAGTAGAATTTTAAAAGCATCTAGGTGCTGTCTGTTTCTTTAGACCTCTACTGTATTTACTTCAATATAAAAGACAAACCTAAATATAAGACTACCCCCCCCCCCCAATAATTAGATTAATACATGGCAAACGTATAAATGTTACAATTTTCTAGGTACAGAATCCAAGTATTTGAGGGTTGTCTTAAATACCAACCTCTCCCCACCCCCCCACTGCTACAGCAGGGAAAGCAGTGACTGGCAAGGGGAGGCAGGTGGCCCTCCTGCCCCACTTCTTTCCCACGCAGCCGTCCTGCTCCCCTGTCATCTGCATGCCTCCACCCCACCTCCCCACAGCCTCGGCCCCTCCTCCCACTCTCTGCCTTTCTTCCAAACTCTCCCCAGTTTCTTCCCCTTACCCTCCTGCTTCCCAGTCTCTGTCTCTCCCCCCCAACTCCTCAGTCACTGCCTCTTTCCCCTCCCCACCCCCTTACTGTCAGACACTGCTCAGGCTGCTCTATCCCAGAGAATGACACTGAGACCTTGCCTGGCCATGCAGCAGTGTTGGTGCTGCTGATTGGCTGGGCAGGAGAAGGAGTTTCGATGTGCTCCATGCCCAGGAGAGACCCCCACCTAAACCGAAATCGAGCTGTACCTGACAGTAAGGGGGAGGGGTAGGAAGGGAGTGAGTGGTGGGGAAGAAGCTGTAGAGGGGAAAGCGGAGGGAGGGCAGGAGGTTGCTGTGGGTCTGACTCTGGCCCTAACCTGGGCTCAGGGCCAGAGTCAGTACCACAGCACCACTTGTTCCCTACCCTGCTTTATATGCAAATATAAGACAAGGGGCTTTTTCCCTTCCATGCTGATAGGGGGGATCCTTGTCCTATAGCTAAGTAAATACAGTAAATAGGTGACCCTAATACTATACTTCTACACTCAACTAAAGTAAATACCAAAGTTCCCCTAAATTTTACTGTGCAAGATCAGGGCTTCCATAGCAGCTCCCCAAGAATGCAAATACAAGCTTTTCTTCTTTTAGTGTGAAAGACAGAGGCATGCAGCAAACAGAAGCCTTCACCTTTTGTTACCACAGTTGCCCAGGTAATCGATAAACAACTAATGCTATTCTAAATTGTCTTTGAATTTAAAGCTTGCAGTTGGTTTTTCTGAATTGCGTTTTGCTTGACTGCACTTTTCAGTGGATATTATGATAAAATACCTTAATTCTGTCCTTTGATGAATGACCACTGAATTGAATACTGGATGATAGCATCTCTTGAAACTGATGCAGCAGAGCTTACTGGAATGACTCAACACAAAGGAAAGCATACCATAGATTTAGATATGGAAGGTGGGGTGGAGGGGTGGGGAGGGGGCAAATAATTTTTGCTGACCATAGTAAAATTTTGCTGATAGAAATAATACACACAAATCCAAGGAAACATATCTGCTTATTCTCAGCTTGGCAAACCTAGTTTAAGTAGTGCCAAACCCTGTAAGAAAGGTTCTTTTCCATTTTTTTTTTAATTAATAAAAATCAGAATCACTCATGTCTCTCCTTAAGAATTCTCATTTCCATTCTCTGAAATCCAAACTGAGATCTTTCTGGAATGTATTGCCAATATTCCTATTGGGGTAGCAGTTTGTGGCTGGCAGAGCTAAGAAAAGGCATTACATTAGCAAACATATAATACATAGAGACTCCAGAAGACAGCCATTTGTATTGATATTCTTTTGCTGAAATCAATTATGGATTAGTGGATACTCACAAGTATCTGTCATTTCACTCAATAACTAACCATTGTAACAGTTTTGTGTGATTTTCAAAATGATAAGTAATCATATTTTCTCACACAGAACATGCTGCCCTCAAATAATATACACACTTTGTTTTTTTAAAGGCAAAATGAAGAAAAAAATAAGCAAGCATGGTATTTTCTTAGGCAGCTGCAGTACAGAGAAGCTAAACATTGTGGCTAGTCTATTAATCCCTGACTGCCAGATGCTGCAAGTAATGGTGGCTGTGCCAAAGTGCCTGGCCCCTCTTCTCTTCTCAAGGTAAGCTGGGTGGGTAGCCAGCTTTTGTAGTATAAGCTTTTGCTAGGGGAAAGTTAATTGCCAGAGCTGGTAGCAAGGAAATCCCACGTGTTCACTGTGCTGCCCCAAGGTACAGCAGGTGTAGTGTTATTTTCTCTTTCCTCTGGAAGAGGCTGGAACTGCAGAATCTAGCACCATATTTACTTGAATTTAGATTACCCTGAATTTAAGACTACCCCCAATAATTAGATTCTATACATAGAAAATGTAAAAATTTGTTCAACATATAGAACCTAATTTTGGGGTGGCTGTCTTTAATTAAACTCTCCCACTGCTGCAAGGAGACAGGAGTGTGGGGAGGGCAGGCAAGATTGCTCCCTGCTTGTGCCTATCCACCCCAGCAGCCTTGGGCCCCCTCTTCCCCTTCTAGTCCCTCCTGTCCCTTCTCCCAGCCTGTTTTCCCCTCTCCCCTTTCCCATTCTTCTAGCCTTTGCTTTCCCCTCCCCATAGCCAACTGCTTTCCCCGCTCCCTCTCCTTACCCTTGCTCCATACCAGCAGTCTCTGTCCCCATTCTAGCCTAGGGCTGGAGCACAGCCTCAGTGCAGCCCTTGCAGCCACACGGGCTGTGCGCCATTGCTATGAAGCTGAGCTGGGGCTGTTCTCCATGCCCCAGGCTGCACTCTGACTGGAGCCTGCTAGTGCAGAGCAAAAGTAAGAAGAGAGAGGGACAGGTGGGGCGCAAAGGCTGCATGGGGGTTCAGGCAGAAGCTGCAGCTATGGCCCCAACCCCAGGTAGGGGATGGAGCCTGAGCCACAGCAACCACCTGCCCCCCTCCACCTTCATACTTAATTCTAAGATGAGGGCCCCCCTCATGTTAAATGAGGGGGAGGGGGAATAGTCTTAAGAAAAAAATGAAGTTAAAAAAAATGTTAGGGCTTAGGGACAACTGCTTGGAACTCTGAGCTAAAAGTTTATTTTCATCTATACAGTTCAATAAACAAAAATCTTCCTTCCTGCATAAATACAGCACTTTCTACAGTTTAAGCAGATATTTTTATAAATCTGCTATATCAGTAACTAAATCTGAAAATCCATCAGGAAAGAAGTACATTCTGTAAGAATTTCTATCTTTAAATGTATTTATGCAATGGTTCAGGGGTATAAGTTGTAGCCATGCTGGTCTAAGGACATAGGCAGACAAGGTTCTTTGGGTAAATCTGATATTTTTTATTAGACCAATTTAAATAGTTGAAAAAATTCTTCTTTGCAACTGTTTGGGTACAAATACCCTTTGTCAGGCTGAGGAAGCATCTGCAGTTGATGTGTGCCCTTCCTGGATGGAATGAACAGTAAAGAAGCCAGAGGCTGGTATGCATGCAAGAAAGGCAGTCAGTGTAGATGTAAACTGAGGTGTCAGTGGGTGAGAGACAGGCTGGTGGGTGGGGGGAGTCGAATGAATGTAGCTGGTAAAGAGTGGAGAGGTACCTGGGGAGTCAGATGTTAGGCAGATTACAATGCATCATAAATCCAAAGTCTATATTTGGTCCAGAATTTTTTTGTATCCTGAAAGGTGTTTTATGCATTGGAAGTTTACAGTCACATTAATGGAAATAGCTATTTTGCAGAAAGTAAGTTATAGGAGACTATTTAGTATATCATATTTAAATGTATTCTAGAAAATGTAACGGAAAATGTATTAACAGTATGCCGGTTAATTCATGTTAAGCAGCTTTTAGTCTGAACCTTCAAGTCCAGAGGAAAATACAAGGCCACTAAACTTGTAGTGAAGAATTCTTAAGGACAGCATTGCACCTTACAATCACTGTACTGCTATTACTTAATTACCAGCTACTCTAAACATAACACCATATAGATTAAGTCAGTCAGAAGTGAGGTATCTTTGGAAAGTTTAATTGAAACTTTAGGAAGCATCAGAACATCTAGTACATTTTCTGTTTTGTAGCATGCACAGGGGCAGTCAGTTTCCCTGTAACATACAGTATCCAGTTTTCTGGAGAGATATCCTATCATACATTTTAATACCATATTTGCAGCAGTTTTCAAAAGAAAAATTGAAGTTGGTTTCTGATAGCAAAGGGCAACATACATTTTTCTCTCCTGGGGATGAAGGCAGGAAAGAGAAAATGACAGAAACCTTTGTGTTACCAATAGAGCCTGGAAGACTACTCTACCTATTCTGTGTCTTATATTATTCTTATTACCATTCGTAGGGTCTCATCCAAAGTCAAGGAGCTTTGGATCAGATCCTTAACTCTTCTGGAGAGGACTCTGTATAGCAACATGAAGAATGCCCAGCACTTCCATTCCTTGATAGGTTGACAGTTTGTAGTCAATTATTCACCAACTATATCAGCCGATGCTGATCTGATAACCAATTTACTTTAAAATGCAAAACTTGCAAGGCATTAATAAACTTTTTTTTGGCACACTCCAGCAGCCTCCTGTGTCACATGTATCAGTGTACCAGTTGTCAAAAACGGCAGTGGGGGCACTTGAACTAAAGGTCATCAAATCGGTTTTAGTTCAAGTGCCACCACCATTTTTAAGCGCAGGGATGCTTTTAAGTGGAGCAGAGCTGAGCAGGGTGATGGCAGATGTGGGTTGCCTGCTGCAGGGTTGGGGCTCTCCACTCTGCTGCCTTTGCCCTGGGAGAACTGTGCTGGCCATGCCTGCCTGGCCGCCCCCACTGCTGCCAGGCAGGCAAGGGGTATATGGCTGGTGCAAGGCTCCCAAAGTAAATACAATGGAGAACCCCAAGCCCACAGTGAGCAGCCTGAATCCACCCTGCACACAAATCTTGCCCCTTCCCTCCCCCATGTCCCTTCCCCTCCATAAGATTTCCCTGCAGGGAGCTGCTCTCCATACTACTTGACTGTGATCCTGGCCATGTGCATACATGTAGCTGCGCATATGCATGCGGTGTCCCCTACATCTTGCTCCCAGCAGCCCCAAGCAGACCCCTTGCAGGCTAGAATGCTGCCTGCCTGCAAGGGGAAATCCATCATTTCCTGAGGGAACCCAGGCATCTGGGGACCCTGACCCCATAAGGAAGAGGGAACCCAGGTGTCCACGGTCCTGGCCAGAAAGCATAATTATTGGTAAACATTATCAGCTACAACGGCCAAAAAAACCCAATAGCCAATAGTAATTTCCCCTTCTATTGGTGCTGATCCAATAGGCAACTGATATATTGGTGTACCTCTATTAGAAAGCAAAGTTAGGTCTCCAACATACTAGAGAAGTGTGTTGCCACTACATCACTGGGCTCTTGAACTACTTATTTAAGTAGAAAACATGATTGCAGAAAATAAAATGAGGCAATATCCCTTTTCTAACAACCTTCTTAATATGTGGATCAGCATCATGAATAACATATGAAATAACATCCTGGGTTGATTAATTTGTTTTCTTCTCAAATGAAAAACTGTTTTTATCTCCCTAAGCATGAAAATCTTAGGAATATATCTGTACATGGGTGTACATAATATATAATATTAAAATTTGATTAAAGACTTAATGTCTTAATTTCCTGCTGTCACAGTTCTGCTATTTAAATGGCTATGCAGACTTATTTTATTATGGTTTCATTAACAATTAAAAAGTGTAAGGCAACCAAACTGAGATGTCATCATTGCACAAAAATATTTCCAACATCAGCCTTTACTTTTTCTCAAAATGTTAAACAGCACACAATTAAGATAATCAAAATCATTTTTCTAATAGTAAATTAAACAGTTTGTTGTCACTTAACATGTCAACTCATGCAAATCATCTTTCCTCATATATATAAAATTATATTCTCTTATGAAACAGGTTTGTAAACTTTAGTTAAGAGCCAATTTACCATTTATTCTTTCAAAACTTCAGTGAGGAAGAAAAAAAAGTTTCATGGTCTCTGATTTGCTCTTTATTTTTTTCATACCAGTTACTATCAGCTGTTAAGCAGATGCTTGCAGATAAGTTGGAAGGCTAGATTTCTTTCTTTTTAAATTTATATATACCGGTATATTTTTGAAAGGGAAAGTGAGACATACAAAAACTTGTTTCTGGTTCTTTAGAAGCCTTGTAAAAATCCTTGTAGTTGTGCAACTATTTCTGTATCCACAGTTTCCATAAGTGCCTGAAAACCTTGTTCTCCCAGTAATTCCTGTTGTGCCTTTAGCTTCTCATAGACAAACTGCTGTAGTGACACCGTATGTACTGGGTCCTTCAGGGCGAGCTGTACAGAAGAGATAAGAGAAAAAATATAGTAATGCAAGCAAGAGGCAGTCCCAATGCATCTGTGACTCATTCATCTAATTTATATAATCTTAGCTGGAGTAACAAATAACTTCTGCTTTCCACTTCACTGTTGCTGAGAAATAAAAGTCTTATTGAGTCAAATTTTTCCATGGAAGTACTCGCATTCAAGTTTCTTCTGTGAAGAAAATTAAGCTGTAATTTCAAAGTAATTAACATTGGTTCTCAATAAATTCTTTCATTCACTTCCATAAATTCTTTCATTAGATCTTACAACAGTACAACTGAGTTACAATGGATATTATCACTGTGGCCACATTAGGAATGCCATACTGTGAATTATAGAGATTTTACAGATGAGGAATCATAGGTTAAATTCTGGTCATGAAAATTACCAAAATTAGCTGGAGTGGTGGAAGCCAGAATCATAGACTATCATAGACTGTTGTGCTAGGTAGTATACAAACACAAAATTAAATCTCTCCCCTCAAAGAACTAAGTAGTTTCATAGCACTTCATAGCATCAAACTGGCATGCACATTAATGCACAAATCTTTACTTTCTTGTTCCAAAGTCTGTTTCACAAGGGAGGAAATTTAGATAAGATATGTCACTTGAAGCTTGGAGACAATTACAGTCTGTTTCAAACCAAGGTTTAGAATTTAAGATTAGAAATTAAGCTTCTTCTGTCATGCCAACACTGTGTGAAGAGACCCCCTTCTGATGCAAATAAGAAAACAGTTTGCAAAAGATGCATTGCCAGACACCTTTTTTCTTTTGTGGGTCATTCATGTAAATATTGACTAGATACCCATTCTTTGGCTTAGAAACCAGATGAAGTCAGGAGCTAGATGAAGTCATATATTAGATGCACACAATCCTACTTGTTAAAATGATTAACAACTGCCTTTTTTGCTACACATTTTTGTGCCTCCTGCTAAATTTGCTATCTGTATTGGAACACTAACAAGTAGAAATTCTTGGATTTTTAAATTAACCACATTTAAAAAAATTGAAATTCTCTGGTGTAGCGGAAGAAATGTCAAGATTAAGGCCCCTTGCAGACATGCACCTTAGGCTGCCATACATGCATGACAAAAGGCACAATTTTGGGATGGAGGATCAGATCCCAGTTGTGCCCCTACTTGTCACCACATGTTATGATCCTGAGCTTCCCCTGCACTGGCAAATTAAAAACCAGGTGCTACAGGTTTGGGGCCCAGTCTGACAATCAGCTGATTACTGGCCTGGCAGAGACCACACTGGGGCCAGTCCCAGACTTTGGTGCAGTCCCTGGCCTGAGACAATAATCAGCTGACTGTCAGCCTGGCAGGGACTACATGGGGGCCAGCCTAGGCCATATGTTCAATTTAAGTTATAATATGTGGAACATAATATGTATGCACATGTAACACCCTTGTTATTATGCCACGATTCACATTGGACACTTTTACACATGCTCCAGGTGCAGGGGGGACGGCGCTTTAATTAGAGCAGCTCCGAGAGGTGCTCTAATTAAAGCACTGCCACACCTCAGGTATCAGCATCCCTGGGCTTAAAAATGGTAGTGAGGGAGCATAAACTAAAGTTCATTGCGATGAGCTTTAGTTCCAGCGCCACTGCCACCATTTTTAAGTGCAGGGCCGCTGATGCACAAAACACAGGAGGCTGCTGGAGTACAGTAATTGCCATGCTACAACAGACTTGAAAAATTGACTCCGCTCTGACATGCTGGAATTCCAACGCATCAGAGCAACCTCTGCGCTTACATATAGGCACCCATTAATCACAGTGTAAATATAATGTGTAGAAGGGGCCCAATGTAGATTTACAATGCAACAAAGAATTTTAAATGTAAAATACAACTCAATTAACTGTAATACTGCTACTGCAACACTAAAATAGGCATATAATATGGCTTCCTATTATTCTTGTTTTATAATAAAAATAAAATTAAAAGAAAACTAGAGCAGAAAAAGAAGTATGCCAAAAGTCCTCTGAAGTATCCCAGAAGGGCAGTTCACACTGTATTTATTACGAACAAATGAAAATGAAACAGCAGACTACTTTTCACGCAATTCATTTAAATCACTGCTAAGTTTTCTATTCTATTGTGGTCTCTGGCATTCAGCTCTTTGTGTTCTTTCCCCTCTCCATTTTGGTCACCTTTACATTTAAGTTTAATTCAATCATCCTCTCATTAGTTTCAACATTTATTTCTCAGCCTTTGAGCCTCTCTAATTTTGTACTCCAAAGCCTTTATTTTTTTGTGTGGCTTTTTTTACAATCTGATCCTTTTGCTATCTCCCTTCTAACTCTTCTACCCTTTAACTCTTCAGTCCCACTTACGTCTCTCTTAAGCATTCCCTACACAGTAGATTTCTCTGTATGTATATTCTTTGGCTTCTATATGCCAAGTTTTTGCAAACTGAAATATATTATATCTCTTCTTAATGCATACTGAACTTCACATGTCCAATGGTTTTTGTAAATTTGCATTTTAAAGCAGACACTGCCAAGACTTAATCATTAACACATTAGTAATGTGCATATGGCATGTACCTAAAAAGGCAAATACACTATTGCACCTTCTATGGGTCAGTACTTGCACATAGCAATTTTGTGCACTGGGTGTATAGCTTTGCCAATCTGCAGTAAAACTTCTCCTTGCCACAGACTGTGAGAACCCATTTCTGAGCCATTAACATTTATGAAAGTGTGTGCATACCTGTCCGTTCTAGTACTCTACAATCAAGATTAGAAAATGTCCCTAAGCTCAATGGTCCCTCAGTTTCTCTCTGAATTCTGAAATACATTGGTAGAGGAAGTTTTTGGCAAGTTGATGATCCTGAAAATGATGAGGCTGTTAATGTTCAGATGACACAGTGCTCTGTTTCTCAGGCTCCTGGCAGATGTTAAAATAATGACACAATTTGGCATGTGAAGAATGTTATACTCCATCCGAATCATGCACACTACCATGCTGCACGTGCAGGACAAGATATGCAATGCTTGGGATGAGGGATAAAATTACTCAGAAACTAATTGTATGGCTGCTGGGGCTGAACTGGGACCCAAAGCTGCCCCTAGCCTGATTCTGCAGATCAGGCATGGCTGGCTATGTCCTGTGTGCCAGAGCAGCCCAGGCTCTAAAAAACACATGTGCCGCCCAGGGGACCAGGAACCCAAAATCAAGGAAAGGCTCTCCAGCCCTGGGCTTCCAGAGCCCCAGGACTTTTAAAAACTGTGCAACTGAAGTGTTTAAAATCCCTGGGGTACCAGGAACCCCAAACCGGAGAGCCTCTCCCCAGACTTGGATTCCCCTGTTCTTGGCTTTTAAGCAGTGCAGATACAGCTTAGTTGGGCTGCAAGTGGAGTTTTAGATTGAGGGTACCCTGGACCCAAATCTTCAGCCAGGATTGGGCACAGGGTAGCTCTGGTTCCTGGTGGGAGATCAGGGACTGCCCGCAGCTGACATGTTAATTGTGCCATAAAAGTAACATCCGCTAGGGCCCTCAGGCACATTTTAAATTAATTTTAACCTACACTAATTTTAACCTGCACTAATTAACATTTGCTGGCAAATTCCCATAAATTCATTTGGAACTCAAATAGTAAATACTGTGTATTTGGAAGAGAGATAGTGTGCTCTCTCTACATGAAAATTTTGAATTCCTGCTTAGGTACAACGTTTAACTAAACTTTAAGTATGGCGCTGCATCTAGTGCTTCTAGATTTATGTCACACTGTAAAACAGAGAATGACATTATAAGTTTTAGTATCTCCAATATTATTCATATTTACAATATTTAGTGAAATGAAAAAATGATTACTTAGGAAAGAGCAAATAAAGTAATGAACATGACAACCCTAAATATACCATACCATTCAACCATAAAGCCTATGAAGTGTCTAAATATTGCAGGGTTCATGTGAAGACTAGAAATTAAATAATCTATATGCTACAATTCGGGGCATCTGATTTGGACTTCAGGACTACTTTAATTCTGATTTGGTTTTATTTTAAAAATACCAGATTCAGGTAAACTAGAACCACATACTATAGGGATCTATAGTATATAGTATATTCTATAGTATATAGTAAATAATTTTACAGCTTAAGTCATTTCACGAGGTACAATATTAATTACACATAGCTTCGTAACATGTATTCTGTTAACACAAGTGAGAAACTATAACAAAATGGCTTTATATGAGCGTAAGTATCAAACATACCATTACACTGTTCAGGGACTCATTAATATTTAATCTAATGCATTTGTAAGCCACTAGAGGTTCGGTAGTATACTTCACATTCATCAGCACAATCATCATCTGCTATCTCTAAGGCCCCCTCTACATGTTACAGGTATCATGCAATTAGCTGGTTCACTGCACAATTACCTATACCACCTACATGTGCAAAGTAACTATGACATCACAAAAAGCTCTAGCTAGCTTTAATGTTATGCCTAGAAAATGTCTATTAACTTTATGGCTGGTTGCTATTGAGCTTTAATTTGCATATGTAGCAGAGACTGGGAGCCTGTCAGCTGTTACTGCAGAAGGTCTCCTCTCCATCATGCAGCTCTTCCTTGCATGCAAGAAAAGAAATGACTGCACAAGGCTGCCATCACAGATTTGAAGTCCTCTGTTTATCTCAAAGACAATTACAGAATGGTTAGTAAAAGCTCCTTTCCACTAAAACACAAACTTACATGTGATACAAAGCAGTGGTATTCAATGTACGGGCCTGTGGGCCAGAGGAAAAAGCCTTGCATGCTGGTTTGGGCCAGTGTGTGGGACCATTCTGCAGCCTGGATCTAGTATGCAGGCAGGCCCAGTACCACTCGTCTGGTTTGTGAGGCCAGAAAGGTTGGGCACCACTGATACAGAGGGAACATCTTGACACACTTCAGTTTCTATGTGTAGTTATTTTTTGCCATGTTATAGACTAAATGATTTCCAAAACGTCATCAT